TCCAGAGTGTGGGGCTGCTACTAAGGTGTGTCAGGGGGATACAGCTGCTGCCCAAAGCTGAAGGGGTGGGAGTGCCATCCCAAGTGGCAGAATGGGGCCTGTCAAGGCCTAGGGAATAGGCTCGCCACTCAAATGGACTAGAAGAATGGGGCAGCCTAAAGCCAAGGGAGCAGAGTTGCTGTCCTAGAGGGCGTGGAAGGTGGAGCGGAAGCCCAGGACTCAGGGGCCTCCATCCAGAATCCAGAGTGCATGGCCAACACCCGGAGCCTGGAGGACAGGACCACTGCCCAGATGGTCTCTGACAACAGAGGATTATTTTCAAGCCCTGAGAGCTAATGTAATTTGTTCTACTGGGTTTTGGACTTGCTTGGGGCTGTTATCCCTTCTTTCCCTCCAATTTCTCCCATTTGTAATGGAAATGTCTACCTTGTGCCCATTCCACCATTGTACCTTGGAAGCAGATAAATTGTATTACAGATTTCACAGGTTCACAGATGAAGAGGAATTTTGCCCCAGGATGGACTATGCCGAAAGTCTCGACCATATTCTATTTAGATGATTCAGAAGATGAGATTTTGGACTTGGAGTTGACTTAAGGTTTGGATGATGTGATGGGGTGAATGTCTTCTGCACATGGCAAGGACATGAATTTTGGAGCCAAAGGGTGGAATGTTATGAATTGAATTGTGCTCCCAAAAAATAACTGTTGTAAACTCTGACCTCTGTGCCTGTGGTTATAATCCCATTTGGGAATGGGCTGTCTTTGTTATGTTAATGAGGCATAATTAGCATAGAGTTAGTCTTGAGTCAATCTCTTTTGAGATATAAAAGAGATTAAACAAGCAAACAGAACAGCAGAGATGGAGGAAGAGAGATGCCAAGCCACATGAAGATCACTTAGCAGCAGAAGCTCAAAAGAGACGACTTTCCACCAGAGCCAACGGAGAAAGCAAGCCTTCCCCTAGAGCCAGCACCCTGAATTCAGACTTCTAGCCTTCTAAACTGAGAAAATCAATTTCTGTTAGTTAAAGCCACCCACTTGTGGTATTTCTGTGGTAGCGGCACTAGATAACTAAGACACCTTCTACTTTACCAAACATGATGTACTTTTCTAGGCCTTGAACTCTCCTGATGTGTCCAATGTAAGCAAGACGAAATTTTGCCATCCTTGCTTCTAAGGAGCATTTGGGTTTTGCCCTATTTTACTAGGTGATATATAAAGAGAAAACCAAAAGAATTCTTTTCTTCAATTTAGTAACTGTGTATTTTGTGACATCTATGTATCAGTTTCTCATAGAAAAAAACTGTCATAAAAATTTTAAGGTCCAACTGAACATGAATATTAGGAATACACATGCACAACAGAGTAAGACCAATGATGTATCTGTTTCCTTTCTAAAATGGTTCTTTGTAGTAACTTCTAAACTGTCTTCTCATATAAAAATTATTTTCTCAACAGATTCGTACTGAAGTTGGCAAATATCCTACTTAAGAAACTTAAAAAAAAAAAAAGTCAATCTAACCTACTTCTTGAGTTTTCTTCTTTAAGATTTTATATTTGACCTTGTGAATGATAAAGGAACAATGCTAAATATCCAGGAGACAAAGTTAAAATTAAGACTATATCATGACTTCAAGCACAGAATTTTAGGATGTAAAATCATTTGAAATCAAATAAATGAAAAGACTTTTTTAAAAGACCAATGCCACCAATCAAATTTTTCCTGTGGTCCACTTCCCATTCTAGGACTGACAGACTATCAGGACCAAAAGGAAAGGGCAGCTGAGCTGCATGCTCCAAGTCTAGTTAAATAAGAACATGGAAGGCTGTAGCATACACATTAAAGAATGCATTTAATTTTCAAGGGAAAAGAAAGTAGTTTTAAAAAGTGATGGTGATTTAATTATGAGTGTCCCTTTTAGCTCCATCTGAAAAAAAAAAAAAAGTTTGTTTTTCCTCTGCTTCCCAACAGTTCAATGACAGCAAAACATCAAATCTAAGATGGTGCTGGAGTTCTTCTACAGGGACAAGAAGAAATGCAACTTTTTGAGCTTTTTTTTCAGTTTAGAGAGAGAGGGAGAGTGATAGATAGGAAGATAAAAATAGAAAGAGGTAGTGCTGGAGAGAGAGAGAGACAGAGAAAGAGAGAGAAGGGAACAAAAACTAATTTTCCAGGCAGGGAAATACTTATAAAACCTTTTATGTCAAAGTTAGGATTTCACAACATAACACACTAATGCAAAATCCAGTAGCACCTGTAAGTTTTAAGTAAATGCTGCCATCACTTAAATGCTTTTAAATATCTGTAAAAGACTGAAGGAAAAAAAGATAAAGTACATTCTCCAGAGAACAACAAATGTATTTCAAAATAAAAACTGTATTTTTGTTTTTCTTTTTTTTAGTTGTTTTTTTTGTACAAGAATTCATAGTTATCATATAACTTAATAGACAATGGGATCAATCTCTGCTCTCCTTTTGTGTCACTTCAAGTCCACACATTCAGGCTATAGTTCCCAACATTATTTTCTGATAAATGTATTACCACAGTTTGATCTAAATATAGATACATTATATAATACTTGTCTCTGGGAAAATCAAATCTCCATATGCAAAGTTTTATTCATATAATACAGAAATGGAGAAAACTACAGTAGGCACACAACTTAATTATGACTTGTATATAATGATTTCTAGATACTCTCCTACTGTATATGAATGTTTAAAATCATCTTAATAAGATTTTTATTTATATGTGCACTTGTGTCCACCTTATCCCGTACATGTCTCATGACGATCTGGGAATTAAAAGGTGCAGCCCTCAAGAAATTCTTAAGTCACTAAAAAAAGAAACAATTAGCCTCCACTGGACATGGAAAAAACTCACAAAATTTCCAATTTTAAATTTCATATCAGTAGGAAAATATTAAAAATAATTTTCTGTATATACATATGGGTATATGTATATATTGAAGTACACATATGTCTCACATATCAATACAATCCAAGTGGAGACATTTGGGTGAGTTACTTTCCCATTAAATGACATCTATGTCAAATTTTAAAAATATTTTATTACAACATTAAAATAATTCACTTACCATTTCAACAGCTTACATATTTTTTTTTTTAATTTTTAACTCTTCATAACTAAATTCCCTGATCCCTAGTGTTAAATCCCCTATTTAAATTAAAACCTGGTGCTCTTCGTTACTCAGAAACTGATGGATAAAATCACGTCTACTTCAAAATCCCATCAATCAAATAAATTTTATTACCTGATTTATCAGAGAAATATCTCAGCTCTGAGCATGTGTACCTAAATTATTCTCCCTATGATAAACAGGTGAGAAAATTATCCTAAAATAGATGGAGGTAAAATGATGTATAGCACATATAATACATGATGACTGAGTGTCTGATATAAACTTCTCAGAGACACCTGAAAACTCACTTTAGAAACTAACTTTAGAAACAAACCATTTATTTTCACTCTAATATAAATTAATCTGTATGTATTTACGTACATACACTACATATAAAACAAAATTGTCTAGTGTTGAATAGCTGTGAGTGAAAAAATGGTTACAAATTGATTAATTAGCTTAATTTTGTACTTAACAATTCAATCATTTTGGGGTACAACAAAAAAAGTCAGTGCATTTGTAGACTCCCATAGAGTCAGATACTCAAGCATACACTTTAAAAAAGAACCCTCCTCGACATCACAGGCATTGTACAGCAAGAATATATGTACTCTGATGCAATTCCCATTCCATAAGCAGACTAGACAGCACTTGGCTTACTTTTAAAACAGCTTCTTGAAAGAAATATATAAAGAAATGCATGTTTGCTAAAAGTCTTTTAAAATTACATCAAAACAACATTAAAACCTGTTCACTGAGAAGAGCCTATTGAATTTAATTCCTGTTTTGAAATGCCTAGTTAACAGTTCAGAATATTGCCTTGTGAGGTTTGAATACAGATGTGGTTGACGTGAAGACCCAGGCAGAGTACAAGTCTCCATCTCCATCTGCCACAATCACAATTTAGACACAGTCCTTGGATTGGCTGTTGGATGTAAATGGATCCCCTTGAAAATAGCTATACACCTTGAAATGATCTATAATAAACAGTTCCCCAATAACCATTATTATTCTTAAATTGAAATGCATTGATCATTCAGAAAAGATTTCTTGCAAAATATATAAATAAATGTAACTGCATATTCTGTAAATATACTTAGCATTGCAGGCCGGACCGTCAATGACGGGCTGCTGTAGTTCAGTTCTGTGTGTCTAATTTATTAGAAATTTAAAAAGAAAAATTTCTGAGGGACTCAGCTGCCTTCATTAGTTGGCTTTAAGATGTGTAATAAAATGGGAGACAATATCTTCTCATAAATACATGGAATCAATATGGAAAAGTAAACTATACAGTGGACAAGATTAGAGAACACCAGAGTGTACCAGAGTGGTCACCAGAGAGATATATCTTCCAGTATAAAAAAAGGGAAGAACTCTATACACGCAGTTAGAGTAAGTATGGTTCAATTAAAGATGCAGCTCTCTCTCACTCCTGGCAAGAATTAATTGGTAACGGCACTGCTTCTCAGCAGTGCAAAAATATCCTGAGAAATTATTCAGATTACAACAAAAGACAGGGCTTTCGTCACTAAGTTTTTGCACAAAACACAGCTCTAGATATCGTAAATAAATTAATTTAAAAAGCAGATAACCTTCACTGTGTTGAACACAAAAAGGGGATGTGACCCAGACATCGTTAATTTTCCCATTGGCTAATATCCGGAAAAAGAAAAGATTGCATTAAATGTCTATAACTTATAGTTAACTATGGCCAATAATATACAAGGAGGTAATTTGTAGTTCAAGTTTTTCATCTCTTTTTTCCCCAACTAGCTATAAGCAGAATTCTAAATTTTACACTGAAATATACAATTCCAATTTTCAAAAAGATCCTCCCCCTGGAGGAATAATATTCATTTTTTTTTTTTTTTTTTTTTTTGTGCAATCTTGATGCAGAGCCCAAACAGTCCTATGAAGAGAGACAGTGTATCTTTTAATCTATTGGCACTGAACTTTCACTGTCCTTAGCTGCATTCTAGTAGCTTGGCCAAGTTATCTCGTAATTCTGTTAATTCAAATATCTTTCCATCAAGAATTTCTAAAAGTGTCTTCAGGTTATTGCGAAAAGCTTCTTGTTCATTCTGACTTTTCTCCAGACGTTGCTCTAAGTCAGACAGCTGTCCCTCCAGGTCTTTGTTCCGAATTTCTACTTCCTTTAGAAACAAAAGTGTAACACATAGGTCAGTTCATCACTTAGAAAACAATACAACTTTCTGTTATTACTCATACTGGGCAGTCAATGCAGTGTGACAATTAGGATGAGCTTCTGAATGTCAACATAACTTAGGGAGATTTCAGATTTGTCCACTTGAGAAATCCATGTGGTTTTATGGAATGGCTTGTTCATTTAGCCATCTATCCACCTATCAAAAATTTCCTCGCTGCTTATTCCATGCTAGGCAACACTTCAAATACCAAGACGAGACTGAAGACCCATTTTATGGATTATCTACATCTCATTTCTATTTCAGCCCACCTCTTTCCTAATGCACAATTGTTGGCAGCCTCAGGTGAAAGCAGCAGAAAAAGGAGTGAAATTAATTCTTTCTCTTTAGTGGCAAACCTGGAGAAAGATTTAGTGAAGAAAATTCTCTAAAATAAAGTTTTAAGATCCTTTGAATATGCTAATTAATCTGTTTTCTTCAATATCAAATGAATGCATGTTATAGACAGTATAGCTCAACGGTTAAAAAATTGTAGAAAAGACACATTTCAGAGAATTACAAAGCTACCAATTCCAATATGCTGCAAATTAAGGAAAGAAAAAATTGCAAAAGGGAAGTAAGGGTTCATAACAACAACAACAAAATCCGTTTTTAATTTTTTTAACATAGAATAATCTCTGACAAACTGAAAAATTATTTACAAGTTATTATTTCTTTTAAAAACATTTCTGAGCATTATAAATATACTGAAGTGACTCTAAAAAATAAGCTAAAGATTTAATTTTGGTTAAAAAAATGAAATTCAGAAAATTGGCAGAAAGCCAACTAAAAAACTTTAAAAGCTATTCATATAAGCAATAAATTTAGAGTGATATATCCTTTCTGGAAAGCTCACTTTTATTTCTGAAAGGAATTAAGTGATTGACACAAATTATCTTCAAATATATTAATTATATAGGACAATGAAAATATTTTGGTGTTACACAACATGAATTAGCCTCAGAAAATAAGATGTTTTGATAAGATTCTATCAAATCTAAAGGACAGCAGAATTTAAAATTTTTTTATTGCAAGACAATCTGGCAAATGTTAAATGAAAGGAACAGAGTATGAAGCAGCACATGCAACTGAGTAAAAACTTGTATGCAGGAGGACAACGCTGGGAATTGATGCACAAATAGGAAACAGTCCTGGATTTTGGTTATTATGGGCATTTGGGAGGAAAATTTTATTTCTTATAATATCTATACAAATTCAACTTTCAGGAAAAATAATTGGGAAATAGGCTTGAACAGATATTAAGAAAGTAACAACTGATTCAGGATCCTGAACATGAAGAAGAAATGTTCACATGCTCTAACAGAAATAACTAAGGACAAGGCTCAAGCACAAATGCCATAAATGAGCCTCAAGGGCCAGGAAAAACATAAGAAAGGAATAAAGCAGCTCTAAAAAAAAAAAAACCATTGCTGTCGAGTCGATTCCGACTAGGAGCCCTGGTAGCGTAATGGTTAAGAACTCAGCTGCTAACCAAAAGGTCAGCAGTTGGAATCTACCAGCTGCTCCTTGGAAACCCTACGGGGCAGTTCTACTCTGTCCTATAGGGTCGCTATGAGTGGGAAAGCAGCTATAATGATCTACAAATGAAGAATTTAATGAATCCCAATCTAATCTCAAAGTATTTACCGTTAGGAATTACCATGTATTCTACTAATCTCTTTTCTTTGAAAGATCTGCAAAGTGAAGTAAACTGAGAACAGAACCCGAAACCAATAAAATATTTATAAATCCAGAAGCCAAATTCATGAAGACTTAAGCAATGAGGAAGAAAACAGGTCCTGTGATCAAATGTAAAAATTCCACTCATAATTACACAGCATGCTCTCTTGCCTGCTTAAACAATAAGCTTAAGGGTAGAATGTTTCCAACTATAAAATTAGACCAAACGTCAGCCACTAGCAAACATCCACTTCACCAAGCACCACCCAGTTTGCCCTCTAAAGCCTTCCTTAAAAATGAAAGGCTCCCTTGTTCTTCTTGCCAACCAGTGAAAACCCAACCATTTTCAACACAGCAGCAAAACACAAAATTCCCTCAGCTATTAAAACTGTGTTGTTCTCTCTAGATGGAGTATCCTACTCTAATCTCTATCTCTGTTTGGAGGAATTTTACTTGCCAGATAACAAACGGGATTCAATACAATGCTGACTGTGCTAGTCTTTTTTTAAACAGAGAGAATATGTTCCTAGAACAAGAATAGAGTTGCCACAGGGGCCAACAAAAGGCAACTGGAACCGTAGTTGGTAACACTTGCCAGTTGTCTACCTTTTGTCTACATTTTTCAGCTCTTTCCTTCTTGCCTTTCATTCTCCCTCCTAACTCATTTGTCTTCTCATTATCATTGTGTCCTACTATCTTTCCCTTTACTGATTCGTAAGGTATGTATCAGAGGCACCCAGAGGCAGGGTTCAGTCCTGATAAAAAACTGTAGGCCAGATTTTCCTAACCTCCTTATACTGCTTTAAAGGGCAATAACTAAAAGTATAAGTCCTAGTGGGCAGAAAGGGTCATGCTCTGTATTTGTTAGATACGGAAACTAAAACACTAGACGTAATTAAGAAAAAATTAAACAATCATGACCATCATCATCAATAGGATCAAATCAGCTTCATTTTCCATATATTTAAATCCTGTATCATTTAATCTGAAGAAAAGCTACAGAAAATTTCTCTTATTTACATCTGATTCACATCTTAAGCTCTTATGAGTAAGATACATTATGGCCCTATTAGATTATTAACCTTAATATATAATGTTGTTGTTGTTGTTAGGTGCCGCCCAGTCGCTTCTGACTCATAGTGACCCTGTGTACAACAAACGAAACACTGCCTGGTCCTGGGCCATCCTCACAATTGTTGTTATGCTTGAGCCCATCATTGCAGCCACTGTGTCAATCCATCTAGTCGAGGGTCTGCCACCAAAGTACGACAAACTGACAGATATGTGGTGGCAATATACAATGGGATATATAAGTGATCAAGACAAGTATTAATAACTAGACCACAAAATGGGTAAAAGAGACAGAAAACAAACAATAACCAATTAAAGTGCATAAACGTAGAGAAAATCCCACTCACAACAGCAAAAAAGAAGTTAAGATACAAAGAAACAACAAGAAATAAGCAAAACCCACGTGAGGAAGACCCTAAAACATCCCTGAAAAACACAAAAGTAGATGTGAACAAATGGGAAGAAAACCCTTGTTCTTAAGATAGGAAGAAAATCTCTTTAAGATGTTAGTTCTTCCAAAGTTACATTACAAATGTTAAGCAATCCCAATAAGAATACAAATTTTTATAGGCTTAAATTTTTACACTAAAACGGATACTAAGGTTTACATGGAAAAATAAACATGTAAGAACTGTTAAAAAAAACAATGAAAAAGAAAGGCTATGAGAAGGGGTAGCCCTACTAGATACTAAAACATACAGTAAAGCCTCTATAGTTAAAGCAGCGTGGTACTGGTGCATGAAGAGATAGTCTGACTAGTGGAATGGAATAGAAAGTCCAGAAATAGATGATAATATATATATGGAAATTGAATCTCTTAAATCATTGGAAAAAAAATAAAGTTTTAAATAAATGATAATGGAAAAACTGGGTAGACATTTGGAAAAAGATAAAATTAGGTTCATATCTCATACCACACATGAAAGAATAAAACCCAAATGGATCAGAGGTCTGAATGTAAAAATGAAACCATACAAGTACTAGAGGGCAATATAGATGAATTTCTATTCAGCCTGAGTGTAGAAAAGAGCTTTCTAACTAAGATTCACAAGCCAGAAGCAAAAAAGGGAAAGAATGATAAATCTGACTACTTAAAATAACAACACTTTTAACCAAAGTCAAAAAACAGTGACAAACTAGAAGTTATTTGTAACAAATAATCACAGACAAAGGACTAATATCTCTAACACATAAAAGTCTCTTAAATATTTAGGGGAAAAGGACCAAATACCCTATAGAAAAAAAGGACAAAAGACACGAACCTACACAAACAAAAACATAGAGAAATAGCCTTTAAGCTTAATGAAAGATGTTCAATCTCACATATAATATGAGAAACATGAATTAAAATCATCATTTCTCATCTGTCACACATTGGCACAAATTAAAACAGTATGACAACACAGTTTGTTGATGAGGCTGTGGAGAAACAGGCACTCACTCATACACGCCTGGCAGGAGTGTGAACTAGCACAATCCCCTACAGAGGGGAATTTGGCAATATTTAACAAAATGACACTGCTGGGGATATCCTATGTTATGGATTAAATTGTGTCCCCCCAAAATATGTGTTGGAATCTTAACCCCCATATCTGTGGATGCAATCCTGTTTGGAAATAGGGTTTTCTCTGTTATGATAATACCCATATGACTACAAGGAGGACCAGTTTATACTATTACTCAAAATTACACACCAACAACTAATGCCAAAGATAAATTGAAGATTTTTACTAACTTCTGCAGTCTGAAATTGATCAAAGATGCAATCAAGATGCTTTGATAATTACTGGTGGTTGAAATGCAAAAGTTGGAAACAAAGAAGGATCAGTAATTGAAAAATATGGGCTTAGAGATAGAAACGATGCCGGAGATTGTATGATAGAATTTTTGCAAGACCAACAACCAACCTATTCATTAGAAATACCATTTTCCAAAAACACATGTGGCAACCATGCACGTGGACCTTGCCAGATGGAATATACAAGAATCAAACTGACTACATCTGTGGAAAGAGACAATGGAGAAGCTCAATATCATCAGTCAGAACAAGGCCAGGGGCTGACTAGGGAACAGACCATCGATTATCTCATAGAAATTTAAATTACTCATATGCAAGTCCAAGTTGAAGCTGAAGACATTAAAATAAGTCCATGAGAGCCGAAGTACAACCTTGAGAATATCCCACCTGAATTTAGATACCATCTCAAGAACAGAAGTGACGCACTGAACGCTAACGACCAAAGACCAGACGTGTTGAGGGATGACATCAAGGACATCATACATGAAGAAAGTAAAAGGTCACTGAAAAGACAGGAAAGAAAGAAAAAACCAAAATGGATGTCAGAAGAGACTCTGAAACTTGCTCTTGAACATAGAGCAGCTAAAGCAAATGGAAGAAATGATGAAGTAAAAGAGCTGAACAGAAGATTTCAAAGGGCAGCTCGAGAAGACAAAGTAAAGTATGATAATGACACGTGCAAAAAAATGGAGTTAGAAATTCAAAAGGGCAGAACACGCTCGGCATTTCTCAAGCTGAAAGAACTGAAGAAAAAGTTCAAGCCTTGAGTTGCAATACTGAAGGATTCCATTGGCAAAATATTAAAGGACGTAGGAGGCAAAAAAAAAAAAAAGATGGAAGGAATGCACAGAGTCACTGTACCAAAAAGATTTGATCGATGTTCAACCATTTCAGGAGGTAGCATATGATCGAGAACAGATGGTGCTGAAGGAAGAGGTCCAAGCTCCACTGAAGGCATTAGTGAACAACAGGGCTCCAGGAACTGGCAGAATACCAACTGAGATGTTTCAACAAACAAATGCAGTGCTGGAAGCGTTCACTCACCTATGCCAAGAAATCTGGAAGACAGCTACCTGGCCAACCGACTGGAAGAGATCCATATTTGTGCCCATTCCAAAGAAAAGTAATCCAACAGAATGCAAAAACTATCAAACAATATCATTAATATCACACGGAAGTAAAATTTTGCTGAAGATCATTCAAAAACGGTTGCAGCAGTACATTGACAGGGAACTGCCAGAAATTCAAGCCAGATTCAGAAGAGGTCGTGGAACAAGGAATATCACTGCTGATGTCAGACGGATCTTGGCTGAAAGGGGAGAATGCCAGAAAGATGTTTACCTGTGTTTTATTGACTATGCAAAGGAATTCGACTGCGTGGATCATAACAAATTATGGATAACATTGTGAAGAATGGGAATTCTAGAACACTTAATTGTGCTCATGAGGAACCTGTACATAGATCAAGAGGCAGTTGTTTGAACAGAACAAGGGGATACTGCATGGCTTAAAGTCAGGAAAGGTTTGCGTCAGGGTTGCATCCTTTCATCATATTTATTCAATCTGTATGCTGAGCAAATAATCCGAGAAACTGATCTATACGAAGAACGCGGCGGCATCAGGATTGGAGGAAGACTCATTAACAACCTGCGATATGCAGATGACACAAGCTGGCTTGCTGAAAGGGAAGAGGACTTGAAGCACTTATTGCTGAAGATCAAAGACCACAGCCTTCAGTATGGATTACACTTCAACATAAAGAAAATAAAAATTCTCACAAATGGACCAATGAACAACATCATGATAAAAGGAGAAAATACTGAAGTTATCAAGGATTTCATTTTACTTGGATCCACAACCAATGCCCATGGAAACAGCAGTCAAGAAATTAAATGATGTATTGCATTGGGCAAATCTGCTGCAAAAGACCTCTCTTTAAAGTGTTAAAAAGCAGTCACTTTGAGGACTAGGCGTGCCTGACCCAAACCATGGTATTTTCAATCAGCTCATATGCATGCAAAAGCTGGACAATGAATAAAGGAAGACCAAAGAAGAACTGATGCCTTTGAATTATGGTGTTGGCAAAGAATAGTGAATATACCATGCACTGCCAGAAGAACGAACAAATCTTGTCTTGGAAGAGTACAGCCAGAATGCTTCTTAGAAGCAAGGATGGACAGACTTGGTCTCATGTACTTTGGGCATGTTATCAGTCCCTGTAGAAGGACATCATGTTTAGTAAAGTAGAGGGTCACTGAAAAAGAGGAAGAACCTCAATGAGATGGATTGACACAGTGGCTGCAACAATGGGCTCAAACACAGCAATAATCGTGAGGATGGCATAGGACCAGGCAGTGTTTCATTCTGTTGGACATAAGGTCACTATGAGTCACCGACTTGTGGTATTTCTGTTACAGCAGCACTAGGAAACTAAGATACCACACCATATTGTAAATATTCTATGTTAATGTAAGAATTAGAGGTAATATACGTAAAGTGCTTAACATATGCTTGACTCAGCAGGGACTCAAAAAACGGTAGCCAAAATAAAAACAAAACAAACAAAAGAATGATATACTAGACTGAATCTCCCCCAGCCCTGATCACATGCTTCATATTTTAGTTCTATACCAGAGTTTCTCAAACTTGATACTACTCATATTTTGGGCTGGTAATCTGACGTTTAACAGCACCCCTGCCCTCTACCTACCAGATGCAGTAGCACCCTTCCCAAAGATCCCCTGGTGTGCAAAACTGCCCGCAGTTGAAAATTATTAAACTGTAGAAACTAAAACATTTAATAAAGGAAACCAAAAAGTAAGCTCATTTTCTCCAGACTGCTGAATGCCAGTGATGATGAGAGGAGAGGCAGGGAAATATTTCATTTCATATAAGGAGTTGGTTTTCTACATGAAGGGCTCCTACTGTCACAGAGTTTGGTGGTCAAGGGCACAGGCTTTAGAATTTGACCATTTCCATTTGAACATAGCTTGGACAAGTTAACTTCTCCAAGCCTCAGTTCCCTCATCTAGGGAGAGTAAATGTGTTGTTATGACTATTACAAGGATTAAATGACATAATACAAGTAAACTGTTAAGCCCAGGGTCTGGTACATACCACTCAATAAATGTTGGCTATTCTTATTGTACCATATTTTCACACAAATAACGTTCGCCTTCTATGTTTGTTTGCCAGCTGCTCTCTCCCCTCACGAGGTATTTTCTCAATTGCACTATGCTAATTTTTTTTTTTTTTTTTACAGCAACACGTAAAAAAACTGGCGTAACAGCACTTATGAAAATACCTTGTGGGGTCTGGGAGGCAATCAAAGGTAGAAGGTGCACATTATTTGTGTAAAAATACAGTAATCTAGGTCCTCCTTCTAATCCTGGGCCTTCAGGTTCTACTTAATGGCTCTTTACTCCACACGAGCACTTATTTCTATTTCAAACCCTAAAATGCTCCTTACACTTTTTTACTGAGGCAGCTGGCCACAGGGATGTAAAAAAGGAACCTGAGCTAGCAAAAGACAACTTTGGTAATTAATTTCCAAAAATCTTCCCTAACCATGGCTGATTACCACTGATACAGGATGGATGGATGTAAATTACAGTCAGGAGGCATGCTATTTATGCAGAAAAAGTGAGTAATATTAATCAGGCTGGAGAAAGAAAATGCGCACTAATTTGTGCTCCTTCTCCTAGGGCAAAACCATTGTTATAATTGATATATTATTTTAGTGTTAAAAAAAAATGAGTGGAGTTCCCATACTGAATGAAATCCACTTGAGAGTTTTTCTTTAAATTCAGGGTATTTTTATGCTAGAAGTAGACACTTTCAAAATTTACTAAAGGTCATTTATAAATAACCATCTATGATGATTATAAGCTATCCAGGTGAAGTTATTCAAGTAATTTCTGAAATACTGAAGATTAAGCATGAATCGGAAATCTTGGAAAAGCAAAATGACAAAGGACTCACAATATGGAATTTCAGGAAAAAAGTCATCACTGTGAAAGATTTGACGGATGCCTCTCTATGCAGAAATGAATAAAAAATTTATTACAGCTCACCTGTAGTTTCTGAGTCAGAGAGTCCCTTTGTTCTTGCAGTTCTCTGGCATTATCAATTTCTTGTTTTAATCTTTCTATTTCCTGGAAAAGGTAGCGTAATGTCATTAACAACAATTAAACTCTATCAATGAAAGGGAAGGCCTTAAGTTTCCCTGAAATTATTGTCCCCGTCCTAAAAAAAAGATGATTTAAAAAGCATCCATTTATTCTGACTTTTAGAGAGATGAGTTCATCCAATAATCCCTTCGTAGGTGTGTTGTTTAATTCAGTACAAGCTCAAGGAACAAGCAAGTCTGACTTGGTAGGCTGGGGACAGCACTGCTGAGAAACAACCATCTAAACTCAGTGACCCTTTAAGATTGCTTCAGGCTTTGCGGGTATACTTCTTTTCCTGGGATACTGAATCTTTTGACTGGAAATCAGAGAAAGCAATCGCTGGTAAAATTCATTTAACCTCTAATGGTTTTGATACTGATCATATGTTGATGACATGAATGTAGCTCTCATATAAAAGGCAACAGGCAGCATTTCAGCCTGATTGCATTACTGTAGTTCATACCAAGAGAAACAAGGATGGGGAAATACGAACAAGCTTCATACTACTCAAGGAAAATATCACCCTAAAAAAGTATACAACTTTTCCACAAGTATCTTTAAATGTGACACAGACTCTACATTAGCTAGATTACAGATGAGTGAAAAGTAGCAAATACCTCTTCCTTCACTTTCAGTGTCTCCTCCAATTCTTGTATTGTCTGATTTAATTCTGTCTTATGGGTATGCACTGCGTTTGCTTGGCTACTGACGCATTCAAGCTCAGTCACCTAAAATTAAATGAGAACACAGGTTAAATTAAATGATAATTTCAAAGGTGTTATGGATTAAACTGTGCCCCTTCCCCAACCACCGCAAATATGCTTAGAATCCTAACCCCTATAGCTGTAGATGTAATCCTCTTGGAAATAGGGTTTTCTTTGTCATGTTAATAAGATCACACACAAGCGGGCTGGGGGGTGGTTCTAAATCTAATCAATTCTTCATTATAAAAAAGAACAGATTAGACACAAAGGGGGTGTGGGTAGGGGTGGGGGAAAGAGGTTGGAAGACAGATGAAGACAGATGCATCTACAAGCCCAGGAACTCCAAGAATGCCAGGAGTTACGAGATGCTGAAACAGAACAAGGAAAGACCTCCCTCTAGAGCCATGCCTTGAATTCAGACTTCTAGCCCCCCGAATTGTGAGAAAATAAATTTCTGTTCTTTAAAGCCACCCACTTGTGGTATTTGTGTTATGGCAACACTAGGTTACTAAGATACAAGGATTTTTTGCTGAAGATATAATAAGCTCAATTAATTTTGAGAAATATCAAGACATTCAAATAGAATGAATAAGTTCTTTAAAGATATAAATTTAAGACAAAGAAAAAACTAAAGGAAATAATTATTTACAAGGCTTGGTAATGGAAAGGTTAGAAAAGCTTAAATTAAGTGATTAATGACAGTAGAGAATCTGTATAAAGATGGTCTTTAAAAATTTTCTCTGAAAACATATTCAAAATCAGATACAGTTATCTGCCCCTCTATCAGTAGCCTTCAAATTAATTATGGGTTCTAAAAACTTGCCCTGCAGAACTGAGAATTTTTTCAAATACAATTCAAAAAGGTAAAAGAATCTGGAAGAAAAGATATGCTTAAAATACAACTTAAATCATTCTATATTAGAAGGACTTCACATCAGTAGTGCCTCTTATGGTGAAAGATAACAGTTTTTTAGTCAATAAGAATTTACTGAGGGCCCAAAGAACAATATAGGAACTTTTAATGAGCATTTGATATTTTTTTGAGAAGAGAGTCAAGACATACCATCCAAAAACAGAGTCAATATAGACAGAAGTCAATATAAACACATGCACACACCCTAAAACTGCTCTTTGCACACATTAGGTTCTCAGTACATTTTGGTGGATTTGGATATAGTAAATACTAGCTATTAAAGAAATGGAGTAAACCTTTCTCCACATATTTCCCAAATATATAATTACTGTCCACATTCTGTCACTCCACCTCTATCACTTTTTTCCTTTTCTAAAGTTTCTCCTATCCTCTGGTCCACAAAATTGAACATCTGTTCAAATCTCTTGGGAATTATTTTTTTATTGTTTACTATATATTAGTTTTATTTGTCCAAAAAGATAATAAATTCCTTAAAGGGGATCTACTTCTGATAATAATGGGGTATTTTTTTTATTGGACTAACCTTCCCACAGATAAAAATTGCAAACACTGAACAAAGTTTAAAATCAGCTGTTTGAAGGCTCTGGTGAGTGACCAAAACAGGCAAAAAGTGAAAGAAAGCCATCACACTGAGTGAGATATGGATTTACATATCTTTTTTGCAGAAGGCATTCTCCAGTCTGTCTGGGTTCCTTGGGTTGAAGTCAAGCAGAAACCCGCAGTCTTATTACCCTAAAAAAGCCTAAGGATTTTAGAATTCCTCAGAACAGCTGGTACAGCTGGAAACTGAAGAAACTATATGAAAGGATGCCCCCAAATATGCACATAGACTTCACTCAAATCTTTAGCTGACCCCTTAACTGAATATGCACAGTGAGAACCCACGGAATTCAAGGGGATGGGAAAACAGCTGAAAAGCTGAAAAAGCTAAGCTGTGGTAGTGCTTATCACAGAGAAGTCTGTTTGAAGTTTGAGTCCTGTCAAATTAGAGAGCCTTGGTAAATACCTCAAGCTTTCCACTGAAACATCAGAAAATAAAGACCTTAGTGATAGACTTCCCAGGACGAAGAGATTCACCCTAGGACTAAGAGCAACACTGAAATGAACTAACCCTAATGGAGCATAAACCCATACCTCCACAAACTGAAGATAATTCACAGGTAATTTAACTGCTGAAACAAAACTCAACACTTTTCAGAGGAAGATAACAGAATCTACAATCTCTACAACTCATTCACAATGTCCAATATACAATCGAATATGACTAGACATGGGAAGAAACAGGAAAACTTAATCTGTAGTCAAGATAAAAATTAGTCTATAGGAAAAAACTCACAAAAGATCAGTCACTGGAATTAGAAGGAAAAAAAACTTTAAAATAACTATAGTAAACATTGAAGAGTCAACAGGAAAATGAATGAGTGAACAGACAGGAAATTTCATGAGAGATCTAGAAATTGTAAAATAACTTCCAAAAAAAAATTCTACAATGGCAAAATATAAAATCTGAAATCCAAAAAAAGTAATTCAATAGGATCAATAGCATACTGAACACAACAGAATAAAAGATCAGTGAACTTAAAGATGGGCCAATGGAATCATTCAGACTGAAAGCACGTGGTGAGTAAAGGTGGAAAACAAAATGAACAGTATTAACTGGACAATATCAAGTGGTCTAACATATGTGTAATTAGATCCCAGAAAGAGAGGAGAGAGATAATGGGGCAGAAAAAACATTTGCCAAAATACTGGCTGAATTTTTCCAAATATGATTAAAAGGTGGGTAGGGGGGAGAAGCAACCCACAGATCTAGCATGCTCAGTGAACCTCAAGCAGAATAAATACAAAGACAATCATACTGAGGCACTACACTCTAGTTAAATTGCTGGAAATCAGTGATAAAGAAAAAAAAATCTTAAAAACAGCCAGTGAAAAATGACACATTATGTATAGAGGAAAAACAGTAAGAACAATAACTTTCTTATCAGAAACAATGGAGACCAGAAGACAATGGAATGATATCTTTAAAATCTACAGGGAAAAAAAAGTCAGCCTAAAATTCTACATTTAGCAAAAAATATTTTTCAAAAATGAAGGTGAAATAAAGACATTTTTAGGTATACAAAAGCTGAGAGAATTTATAGCCAGTATACCTGCAGTCCAAAAAATGCTAAAGGAAGCTAGTCAGGCTGAAAGGAAATGATACCTGATGGAAATTTAGATCTACAGGAATGAAAGAAGAGTGCCAAAAATTATAAATATGTGAGTTAACTAAAATTTCTGATTTTCTTTTTCTACCTGTATTTTTCAAATTATATTCCTTCTTAAAAAAAACACAAAAACAACAATAATAAAAATAAAATAATAAAAGCAGCTACTGACTCGGTGCAACTACATGCCAATCAATTATCTCGTTTAATTTTTACGACAATTGTACAGAGTGTATATTATTATTCCCAGCTTACAGATGAAAATACGGAGTTCATACAAGGGAATAATTTACCAAATGTCAAATAGCTAATAAGTTCCAGAATCAGAATTTGAAATCAGATCTTTTTAACACGAAAAACTGTATAATCTTCATTCCCATAAACTGTAGAAAGTATTTTTAACTATATAGCTATATAATACAACCCATATACGTTCTGACAACCCATGCATAGCCCCTTAAGATGTCCCTGTGCTGAATCTACATGCAAATTTCTTCTGAATAAGGAAATCTGTTAGCTGCAAATTCCTATGCACAGCAGCCCTGAACTTACTCGCTTGTGCAGACGTTCTGCTTCCTCTTGATACGCAGCAAGCTGCTGTTTCCATTGTTTCACGTTGGCAGTGGACTCCAACAGGGCAGCAGTGAGTTTGGCATTATTTCCTTTGAGGGTAGCCAGTTCAGCCTCCCAATGTTTGCTGATGGCTGAACTAAAATAAAATAAAAAGAAAATTCTATCCATTACATTGAATATTCTAACTTTGAAGGGACAGCAGTACTCAGTTCTATTATAGGGTTTATAGTCCAAGAATGTTTCGAAGACAACCCAAAAAGAGAATAAAAGCACAAGTATTTCACTGAAATGTTCCTAGTGAAGTAAACCTAGCAAATAAAGACATACAAAAAGCAGAAATAGCAGGCTTAATGTGGAATAGTTCCAACCTTCATTATGACACATGTAGATATCTACAGAAGAGTTTCTGCCCATTTTCCTTTGAGGAATAAACATTATATTCTGAAAAACACCTACAAGCAGAACCTAACAATGTGCTATATTCTTTAAGAGTATCAAAGCCTGAAGTGGTTTCATTTTATAATGAAACTTAATAGGGTGCTTCAATATCAATAACGTTTGAAACATGTAACGTAGTATTTCTTTTGATATTGATTTATTTCATCTTATTCTGCATTTTAAAATGTCATAAATGCAAAAATTTGCTGCAAGAAATTGATTTCAGATCATATGATAGGCAGCCTAGATCTAGAAATGGGTTCTAACGACTTATTTCTGATATAATTCCAAGGTCACGTAAAGAACGAAACTAAAGCAATCACCTTTTCCCTCATTTAATGTTCTACTTGATAAGTTACCCAAAGTTAAGTATCTCTACAAGACCATTTTCTATTACAAAGATAATTCAGTTAGTTGGGAAGACCCCTCTCTTGATAATTCCTTTCTTAACTTTCCAATGAAGAAAGAATTGCTTCATTTGAAAGAAAAGATTGTTTCTTTTTCTCATTATTGAGTACTCTATTTCTATTAGTGCAATTCTACTATCCTTGTCCCATTAATTAACTAGTGATGCTTACAGCTTTCTTTAATGACCATTTTTTTGTGTCTGATAGGTCATTTACGTCACAGAAAGAATGAATATCTTATCTCTATTCTGACGGATATATATATGTATTTTATAGTAATTAAAATATATGAAAGAATGGATACATAGTTTTTATCAGCAAAATTTCTAAAGCTCATCACCAGTATAAGACATACGGGTATCGTGAACCCCCTAATATGATGCACTTAGAAGGATACAACATCATTTCTGTGGTATTCTTGCCTAAAATGCATAATCTCAATGTAATAATGAGAAAACGCCATATAAGCCTAAATTGAGGGACACTACAAAAAGAACCGATTGGTACTCTTTAAAAATGTCAAAATAATGAAAAAGAAGGCAGTCTGAGGAACTATTATAGAGTGGAAGAGACTAAGTAGAAATACAGAGGCCAGTGGTGGCTCAATGGTGCAATTATCCCCTTCCATGCGGGAGACCTGGGTTCAATTCACGGTCAACGCGCATTCAAGCCCAGTTACCATCTGTCTGTAGGCGGAGGCTTGCATGTTGTGATGATGGTGATCAGGTTTCAGTGGTGCTTCTAGACTAAGACAGACTAGGAAGAAAGGCCTGGAGATCTACTTCTGAAAATCATTCAACGAAAACCCTATGGATTGTAATCCAATGGCCTGATCTGCAACCAATCTTGGGGGATGGCACAGAGCCAGGCAGCATTTCATTCTGTTGCTGTGGTGAAGTGGATTGCTTTTTGTGTGGCCTTTCTAGCCATGGTCTTGTAACTCCCACTCAGATGATTGGGTGGGGCTGTGAGATAGGGTAATTGTGGCCCACCAAGGAGATTCGTTAGTTTTGCCATCCTGCTGAGCCTGAAATGAGCCACCCCAGAGGCAGGAAAGAGAAGAACTCATCGCCACCAAGAAGGAGAGACCCGCAGGAGAGGGTGCAGTGGGCATCCCGGACCACAGAGCGAGAAAGCTGAGTGCCTTTGGGCAGAGATTGAGGGCCAGGGAGAAGCCTATGCCTGACCCACGAATTTGGGACTTGCCAGCCTCCACAACTGTGTGAGCCATTTCCTTCATATGGTTTGTGAGTTCTATGAGACTTTGCAGCGAATTAGGCAACCCAAAGACAGTAGGGAGAGTACTGAGGGGAGAGGGAGTAGTTGATGTTAGAGATGATGGAGTGGCACAGCAGCCTGGAAAAGTTGGACATTTGGGATATCTTTAACCTCCACCTCATAGGAACCAGCTTTGTGCTGATCCTTATAAAAGAAATTTTTCATTTAGTTGTGTATCTGGTTGCCATGAATTGGGGGCCGACTTGACAGCAGCTAACAACAATAAGTAGATATAACAATTAAATGCAGTGTGGGATCCTGAATAGTAGGAGTCTGGAATAGAAAAGGGATACTGGTGGAAACTGATGTAATTCAAATAAGGTCTATAATTTAGTTAATAGTATTGTATCAATATTATTAACGTTAATTTCCTAGTTTTCATCATTGTATTATCGTTATTTAAGATGTTAACATTAAAGGAAGTTGGGTGAGGAGTACACCAGGACTCTTTGTACTGTTTTTGTGACTTTTTTGTAAGTCTAAAATTAGTTTAAAATGAAAAGTTAAAAAAAAATTCTAAAGTTCACTACTTGAGAAAATTTCATCAGAACCCGAAAGGACAGAATCAAACAATATGCTAAAGCTATTAATTTAACACCCAATTCTATCCTCAAAAAGAAAGCTCTTCTCCATTTCTTCTTTTGTGGAATGATTATTCAGATTCAGATTTGCTGAGCAAAACATGCACCAATTCACCTGCTCTAACTGAATTACACATTTTTTTAACCACCTACCAATTTTTACCCGAAAGAGATGAGTTTTATTTAAATGGACTCTTCAATCTGATTTTCATTCACAGGGCACTTAAAAATGGCAGCTGAAATCTTATTGAACTAATTTAAACACTTGACATATGCAAATATGAAATCCTTTTGAAAATCAAAGAGAATAAAAAATGATACGGAACATATATTTCTAAAATCCATTTGCTAGAAGTTACACAACTATAAATAAAATTACCAATTGTCCTTAAAAGGAAGAAGAACAAAAATGAGGGTGATTTTGTACTTTAATTCACTAGGTTTTATTTTATACTCTCTATATAGCAAAATCCACTGAGAGTTCAAATTTTAAATCCATAACTCAGACAACCTCACAGTTATCTCAATAATTATTTACGTGGCTTTGAACAAACCTCTCAACCACTCGACGTTCAAGAGCAAGTTTCAGAGTCTCTTCTGACATCCATTTTGGCCTTTCTTTCCTGTCTTTTTAATGACCTCTTGCTTTCTTCATGTATGATGTCCTTGATGTCATTCCACAACTCGTCTGGTCTTCGGTCATTAGTGTTCAGTGCGTCAAATCTATTCTTGAGATGGTCTCTAAATTCAGGTGAGATACACTCAAGGTCATACCTTGGCTCTTGTGGACTTCTACTTTTCTTCAGTTTCAACTTGAACTTGCACATGAGCAATTGATGGTCTGTTCCGCAGTCAGCCCCTGGCCTTGTTCTGACTTCTCCATCATCTCTTTCCACAGATGTAGTCAATTTGATTCCTGTGTATTTCATCCTGCAAGGTCCACGTGTATAGCCACCATGTATGTTGGTGAAAAAAGGTATTTGCAATGAAGAAGTCGTTGGTCTTGCAAAATTATATTATGCGATCTCCAGCATCATTTCTATCACCAAGGCCATATTTTCCCACTACCGATCCTTCTTGTTTCCAACTTTTGCATTCCAATCACCAGTAATTATCAACGCATCCTGACTGCATGTTCGACCAATTTCAGACTGCAGAAGTTGGTAAAAATCTTCAATTTCTTCATCTTCGGTCTTGGTGGTTGGAGGTTACATTTGATTAATAGTCTTATTAACTGGTCTTCCTTATAGGCGTATGGATATTATCCTATCACTTACAGTGTTGTACATCCGGATAGATCTTGAAATGTTCTTTTTCACAATGAATGCAACACCATTGCTCTTCAAGTTGTCATTTCTGGCATAGTAGACCATACGACTGTATGATTCAAAATGGCTAATACCAGTGCATTTCAGCTCACTAATGCCTAAGGTATCAATGTTTATGCATTTCATTTCATTTTTGACTATTTCCAATTTTCCTAGATTCATACTTAGTACATTCCATGTTCCAATTATTAATGGATGTTGCTCTTGTACGTTGAGTAGCTAAAGCAAAAGGAAGAAACGATGAAGTAAAAGAGTTGAACAGAAGATTTCAAACAGCGGCTTGAGAAGACAAAGTAAAGTATTATAATGACACGTGCAAAGACCTGGAGATAGAAAACCAAAAGGGAAAAACACGCTTGGCATTTCTCAAGCTGAAAGAACCGAAGAAAAAATTCAAGCCTCAAGTTGCAATACGGAAGGATTCTATGGAGAAAATATTAAACAACGCAGGAAGCATCAAAAGATAGAAGGAATACACAGAGTCACTACACCAAAAAGAATTAGTTGATGTTCAACTATTTCTAGAGGTAGCATATGATCAAGAACCGATGGTACTGAAGGAAGTAGTCCATGCCGTGCTGAAAGCATTGGTAAAAAACAAGGCTCCAGGAATTGATGGAATATCAGTTGAGATGCTTCAGCAAATGGATGCAGTGCTGAAAGTGCTCACTTCTCTAAGCAAAGAAATCTGGAAGTCAGATACCTGGCCAACTGACTTGAAGATATCCATATTTATGCCTATTCCCAAGAAGGGTGATCCAACCGAATGCGTAAATTATTGAACAATATCATTTAATATCACACGCAAGTAAAATTTTGCTGAAGATCATTCAAAAGCGCCTGCAGCAGTATATCGACAGGGAACTGCCAGAAATTCAAGCCAGATTCAGAAGAGGACATGGAACCAGGGATATCATTGCTGATGCCAGATGGATCTTGGCTGAAAGCAGAGAATACCAGAAAGATGTTTACCTGTGTTTTATTGACTATGCAAAGGCATTCGACTGTGTGGATCATAACAAATTATGGAGAACATTGCGAAGAATGGGAATTCCAGAACACTTAATTGTGCTCATGAGGAACCTGTACATAGATCAAGAGGCA